TATTTTTATTTATTGTCTCCTGGAGTATCTTATCAATATTATTTCACAATTATTCTGCGTAACATTTTGCACAGTATTAGACAGCTTTGTTTGATATTTTTCGTACACGTCAGCTTTCATTGCTCATATGTAGAACTTACTATACTTTACTTTGTTAGTAGAATTATCTAGTAATACTAGTTACTTAGTAAAATTATTTATTAAAATCTCGCTAAGAAACGTATTTCCGATGAAGATATTCGACATCGCTAAGTACGACACAAATTTCACGTATCTCTTCGACATTTTACCAGGATGGGTCGGTATCTTGTGCGACCGTCCGTGCGATGACAAGTTCTATGGCAAGGATTGCAAAAGCAAATGCAACTGCTATAATAATGCAGCCTGCCACCCGCAAAATGGTAAGGCAATCGAGTAGTGACATTCCGGTTCGATCCTTCGCGATAAAGATAGTAAAATTTTACATCGATATCGTTAAAAAGGAACATACAAAGAAATACGTGACGAATTCATACTTTTAAATTTTTTCTTACTACTTGCACAGAATACATATATGTTATCTTAAATCTAAACAAACGCAGGCACGTGCACGTGTGCGGCTGGCTTCACCGGTACACTATGTCAGGATCGTTGTAGAAAGGGCTTCTATGGAAACGGATGTAATCAGAGATGCGACTGTGTCGAGAAGAACACCGTGGACTGTGATTCCGCTACCGGGTATTGCAACTGCAAGCCGGAATGGCGAGGTTTGTTGAATTAATTTTTTCGCGCCAATTTAGTCGTCGATCAAAAAATTTTTTTCGTCGAGAAAATCAACATGTTACGTCATTGTTGAATCAATAGAAAAATTATTGTTAAAGCGATCGTGAACAATAACGTACTCAAAGAGAATAGAGAGTTAAATTGATATTAGAGAGCTGTTTCTCGAGATGGATTTTGCTCTAACGTTGAAACAGGAATACGATGCGAAACAAAGTGTCCGGAAGGTCTTTACGGCAAGGATTGTCATTTACATTGCGAATGCATGCACAACAGTTCGTGTGATTCCACGACCGGAAGTTGCGTCTGCGCCAAGGGCTGGGAGGGCCCTGATTGCTCGCAACCCTGCAAGGAAGGATGGTACGGGCTGGGATGCAGAGAAAAGTGCCCGGAGAAAATGAACGGTAAAGCGAAAATCCAATATCCAAGATTTAAAACGCGTGACATCGTTTGAGTGCGTAACACATTTAATTCGCATATTTTTTGAACCAATTAATATTTTGTAGGCAACATAAGATAAATGTATTATCACACCTTGTAGCAGATTGCGTTATGTTTAATATCTTAATCCTGAATGCAATGTTATTCTTACAACATATCTCAATAAGTTCCTATTTTTCCTATGCATAATCGGTCAGTCTCTCTCAAGAAACATACCTGTACGTAAGTTTGCCCATCTGTCGCGACATACATTTTGATATATAATATTACAATCGGAAAGAAATAAAAGAGAAGAAATTGGGTTAAATTGTAAGATCAATTCTTCTGCTTGTGATGGCATTGTACATCCGGAGATATAGATAACATGCTTGGATGTGGGTTATTTTTCTATTATGTACAGCTGTTCGAAGCTAAGAATAAATAGTTTGATCTCTACTTGCGCAAACGCTGACGCAAATAATATGCATATAATAATTTATTTTGCTCTTTATCACCAGTCACTTTTATTGTCAAGCATTGAATAATTTTATTGATTATTAGATTATCCAACTTATAATACATTCGGTTAAAGCAAAAGTGGTGAAAGAATTAATAATAGTTATAACGAACGTGTTACTAAAAATTAACAGGCGATATATGTATAAAGTTTTATTTATAGTAAACTTTTCTATGTTATCGCGATAAATTCTTAAGTATCATCATTTTTTCCTTAGAAAATATGACTTGCAATCACGTTACCGGCGAGTACGTTTGCCGTACGGGATACCTGGGTCTCACCTGCGAACATCCGTGTCCGCTCAATCGTTATGGGCTAAATTGTTCGAATCATTGTCACTGTAAGAACGGCGGGGAATGTCATCACGTAACAGGCAAGTCGAGAGCTCGCAAGAGAATCTTCCTGAGATATACATTTGTCTAAATGCGTCTACTCTAATTTTTTTTATTATATATACCGAGGTGTATTATTTTCTAATCAGGTGTATGCCAATGTCGACCTGGTTGGCAAGGCGAGTACTGTCAAACACCCTGCGCGGAGGGCACTTACGGCGTTAATTGTACACAGCATTGCAAGTGTCAGAACGACGGTAAATGCAGGCTTAAGGATGGCCATTGTCAATGTCCGCCGGGATGGACCGGGACCATGTGTACCGAAAGTAGGTTTAGCTACCGAAAGCTGTAGACTGTTACTACCAGAAAGGAATGGTGTACCAAACTATGTTACATATTGATAAATTATATTTAAATGCAACGTTTGCCGATTCCAGTTTGTCCCGAGGGGTACTACGGTCACCATTGTTTGGAGATTTGCGAATGTAAAAACGAATTCTTCAGGTGCCATTCAGTCGAGGGTTGTATTTGCAGGCAAGGGTATACAGGTACTTAAAGTACATTTTAAAAAAATAATAATAATTCTGCATGAAGAATTGAGGTTTTTTCGGAATCGTACAGTGACTTAATGAGACTGAGAAATTATTCTGTAGGTGAGAATTGCGACGAACAACTGTTCTCCCGTAATATCCAAGAGAAAGATGACGGAAGATATAAGTATATTGGAGGCGTACTTGCGATTATTGTTATAATTGGCGCTTTGTTAGCTGCATGGAGGTATCGTCGTCGTAGAATGGCTGTCAAGAACGAGATGGCTCAAGTGCGATACACGGCTAAGTCTGAGAAGGATAAATTCGACATAAGTAGCTGTACCGACGAAGACGATTCAAAAGGTACGACATTTTTATTAACGACAAAATAAAGACAATTTTGCACGACAATTACATCAACTTATATAGATGTTACTACTCAGGAACGTTCGGTCAGCGATACTACCTGCAGAAGAAGGACGACCATGTAAGAAATCCAAACTCGAATGTGTATCACAACATGATAAGCGGCATGAACGACAAAAGAGTCGAGCACATCTATGACAAGGTTAAGCAGCCGTCGCTAATGGCTGGATGATAAGACAATATTCCGAGTCAGACGCCAATTTTTTTTGGATAAAGTATTCTAGCTGTTATTTTAATAGGCATAATATAATAAAAGAAATTAAATATTATGGTAAACATAATTTTTCGTGCTCATTAACAAGTTCTTTTACATTAAATATTTTATTATTCTATTAAGTACGATAGAAGAATTAAATTACATATTTATGTGAGAAAGGATTAAATTTAATATGTATAAATTCACGCTCACTTGGCACGATGTCTTATATCACTACTTTTATAACAAAAATAGATTAAAACAAATAGTGTTAAATCATGTTAAATAAACGGAAGGACGTAATTTTTAGTAACAAAATCGAGATATTCCAATAGCGCAGAGTATAAACTAAACAGTCTTTTTTGAATCATCTCTATATCTTCGGTGATTGCCCAGGTATATGCGATAAACGATAGGGAAGACTTTTTTTTCGCGCCAAGCCAGCGACACATGGCTTTGACCTACTTGAGCAACGGGCGGTGCGGACGAGACACTTTTTTCACGAGCTTTATACATACGTGTGTGAAATTGGTCCATTACTTTTTGAATTCTGTATTTTTAATAATTGTGCTACGTTTGTGCCGTATTGTGCCGCAAACCGCAACTCTGTAACTCAAAGCGTACTCGAGAAAATAAAAAAAAAAAAATTTTTATAGCCCAGCACTTTTCGAATGTTGAGTTTTTTTTATTGTGCCGTATTGTGCTGCATTTGTGCTGACTTGTGCCGCAAACGCGAGATTGATAACTTCGATAACAATTAAGAAAAGAAAAAAATTATACTATCCTCGCACTTTTCCCGAAATAAACCCAATTTTTTTTGTTGATAGGTAGTAATTTGTGCCACGTTGTGCCGTTGGAATAAATTCGATATCTCTTTTTATTTGGCAGATAAAAAATATTAAATGTCAAAAACTGAAATTTTGCAACTTGTGCTGAATTGTGCTAGTCGAGCACAACAAGAAAACGGCTAGAAAAGAATCGAAAGTTGCAGGAGTTAAAAATAATGAGCCAAAGGGGATAAGGGTGAGAAAAAAATTTCACATTTTTAAGTTTTTTAAAATTGTGCTGGATTGTGCCAGACGAGTACAATAACTTATCATAATGACAACATGTCCGCAAATCGTTAGTTTTCGCAGCACAACCATCTAAAGAAAGAAGTTTTTAGGAATTACAATTTTTAAACCATTTTTTTAAACCGTGATAGAGATCTAGCACGATTCAGACGTGGCATGGGGTTTAGAATTCTTTTACTCCTGAAACCCGAGTTCCTTAGTTGTATTGTAAAATCCATAAAATGTGACCAGATGACATTTTGTCAATCGTTAAGCCCCCCTTTCTTGCACAATAGGCGATAGCGATAGCGATAGCGACAGCGACAAAGTTGCCGACAAAGCTACGTCTTGACGAATACAGGACCAATTTGCCAATTATAGCCGGATGAAAATGAAAGCTTAATTGTTTAATATAAATTTCTTTAGCTTTTTTCACTGATTATAATTTTACTGGTTTTTGAGGGCATTTATAATAAAATTAAAGATTATTTATAATGTACTATAATGGGAGACTCAAGGCTGCAATGTATATTATTTAACAACAAAAATAATTATTAAAAATATTAGGAATTGAATAAATTTGTGTTTAATATGTAAAGAATATCGTATACTAAAAGTACATTCAAAGATGTGAAAAATGTGACTACTATTTTCTTGCAATATTGAGGAGGTCGTAAGAAGAATCAGAAGTGTATTAAAAATTACATGAAATTTAAAACATAATGCTCTCTTATAAATAATGTCAGCATGTAAATTTTTTTAGATTTTATCACCGACTAGAATTTTGAGAATATTTATAGCAAAATGTTCAAGATCTTTTAAAGTCTCAAAAGTTTTATCGCAAAAAATTATATAAATAAATATGTATATAAATAAACATAATAATTGTAATTTGTAAATGTAACGTATAAAAATCCATTCTTAGCCAATAACTTTTTATTAGCAACACCTTTTTATTGAAGAAAAATTTTTTTAAAAACTCCCTGAAGAATTTTATGGGGATATTAGTTCAACGTTCATGTTTCGTGTCGATATGTGAAGTATCACTAGCGATTGCATCAAAACAATGGCCGCTCTTAGACGTCTCCGTGTCGTCTTACATTTGACTATATAGATAAGCGCCGCGAAGAAAGACTATATACCTTTTCAACTCGCATTGTCGGCGAATATTTACGGTCATAACGTCACGATGAATCTTAGATGGTGAATAAATCTTGGTTATTAATAATACATATATAGTTTGTAGTATTCTTTTTATTCTTTTTATAAATATAAAATAAATTAAATAAAAATAAAAAGAACACTACAAAATGTAATATTTCCTCCATAATTAATATTTAATTATTATTATGCAAATTT